CACACACACAGCCGCGTACACCGGCACACAGCCGCGCACAGCGGCACACACACGGCCGCGCACACTGGCACACACACGGCCGCGCACAGCGGCACACACACGGCCGCGCACACCGACACACACACGGCCGCGCACACCGGCACACACACACGGCCGCGCACACCGGCACACAGCCGTGCACACCGGCACACAGCCGTGCACAGCGGCACACACACAGCCGTGCACAGCGGCACCAGCACACAGCCGTGCACAGCGGCACACACACAGCCGTGCACAGCGGCACACACACGGCCGTGTACACCGGCACACACACGGCCGTGTACACCGGCACACACACGGCCGTGCGCAGCGGCACACACACAGCCATGCACAGTGGCACACAGCCGAGCAGGACTCTGCCACCTAACTTAGAAGACCTAAAAATAGAGCCACATCCTCCAGGCTTCCAGTGACCCTTCACCACCGTGAGATTCCATGCTCATCAGGCTGCATCCTTTCTATTCCTGTTTGGGACACGAGCATTAAACTCTGGATTCCCATCTTCTCAACTGAGGTAAAGGTTAATTTCCATAGTTTCTCCCTAAAGCTTGGACATCTATTATCATTTGTTTAAGGAAAAAAAAAAAAGATAGAGCCGGGCGGTGGTGGCACACACCTTTAATCCCAGCACTAAGGAGGCAGAGCCAGCCGGATCTCTGTGAGTTTGAGGCCAGCCTGGGCTACAGAGCAAGTTCCAGGACAGGCTCCAAAGCTACACAGAGAAACCCTGTCTCAAACAAAACAAAAAAGGAAAAAAGAAAAATATCAGAGATGTGTGTAAAGACAGTGAGAAATGAAGCCAGTCCCATGGACTCCCTGACCTGAGACTTCCAGTCCTCAGAATCCTGAGAAAGAAGGTAAATCTCTGCTGTTTAGCCTGCTTGGCTTGTGTCGTATAAAGGACATTCTTCAAAGAACAATTCACATCCCTCAAAGAGCAGGACATTTGAGAATGCACACGGTTTCCCCATTTGAGAGAACCAAGATTGCAAAGACTGTTCAAGATAAGCAAATTTCAAGGTTGGAGAAGCAATTCTTCAAAGCCAACAGGAATCTGTGTAGACAACTACTTGGGGATCTGGGCAGACAACTGCTTGGGAATCTGGGCAGACAACTGCTTGGGAATCTGGGCAGACAACTGCTTGGGAATCTGGGCAGACAACGGCTTGGGGATCTGGGTAGACAACGGCTTGGGGATCTGGGTAGACAACGGCTTGGGGATCTGGGTAGACAACGGCTTGGGGATCTGGGTAGACAACGGCTTGGGAATCTGGGTAGACAACTGCTTTCCAGTGTGTGCTTATTCACCACTGAAAGCGAAGAGGCATTGCAGCCTGCCTGGTGTCGGGGAGAATTTGTCTTCCTATTATTTCCCAGCTGAGACTTTAAGCTCTTGGGACATCTGTTTCATCATCTCTCTAAGGAGGGTCAACACCAAAGGTGACAATAAAGATCAGCGAGCCAGGCAGGGTCTGACACAGATCTGTAAGCCCAACTATGTGGGAGGCTGATGCAGGAGGATCATAAATCCAAGGCCTGCCTCCACTAACTCTAGTCACTAACTCTAGTGATTAAAGACCAGCCTGCATGACTTACTGAGTCCCTATCTCAAAATACAAAGTAAAATGCAGACTTCGGAGACAGCACATGGTAGAGAGCACTTGCTAGCATGTCAAGTCCTTGGGTTCGACCCCCAGTATGGGGATGTGGGGCACATGGGGGAGCATGAAAGGAGAGCCACTGCCTGGTGCCCACCAGATGGTTGGATACAAAGCAATTCTAATGAATTGCTCCTTCCT